ATATAATTTCTCCCGAGCTATTAAGAAGATACGACCAAAAAGCGCATTCTTCACGCAGGCTTAAAATTTTCTTCAAATCTCTAGCTAGAATTCTTGTTCCTGCGAACATGAGAATTTTCCAGAACACCCAGTAAGATTCGGCACACTTATGGGAGGATTCGGGACACTTATGGACATCGGGAACATGTTATTTGTTTGATGAACATGAACATCTTCTCACTTGCATTAAATATGTAGTAAATGAAAGTGCATTTATTTCAGAAACATTTTGGAACAAACGGCAGATGGAACAACACAACTGCGAATCTAATACGAGTAATTACAGCTTACATTCTCGACAACCACCCCTTTACCTGAATCTGGTAAAACATTTGTTGCAAAATTTCTTCAGTCCATGCAAGAAATTAAATTGAGAGAGGCATAATTAAATATTTTATAACCCATTCGCTTAAGGAGAAACTGGTAGATAAAATTTCGGTAGTATGTTTTTCTAAAATAAGTGTATTTGATCACTTTATGACGCATTTTTCTTCGAATCGATGCCTGTTACCAAAAATACTACGAACAAATGGAAAACCCAAAAGAAAGGTCAAAACTTAATGTAAAACTTAAATCCTAAATTTCTCAGTTTTTGCTGTGTGCAAGATTCATTAAAGTTTATCAGATGTATATTTTAGAACTACCAGCTATCAATGAAGATTATTTTATGAATATCGGTAAATATCTATTTCCTTAGATAGAGAAGCGAAATATTTGTAAGACTTTCTAATGCGCAGGCGAATAAATTCTTCTTTAATATTTTCATATCTAAATAACTTGGACTCAATTTATATGTCCTCCAATGGTGCGGATAATTACTATCCAATGAAACTGACAGATATTGGATATAACGCTACTAGTAAACATTCTCCTCTGTCGGAGACAGACTAGCAACAATATTTTCTTCTAATACAAAACAGGGGTTTTACACATTTTAAAAACGATTTCGATAAAGACTGACAAAAAGCAAATGCTTATAAATAAAAGGTTTGGGTATCAGTTTATTATTTCAGATAGGAAACATCTTCTGCTATTTTAAAATTTATTCTTATTTCAAAATGCGCACGCAAACCAGTTGTGGACTGAATGATACATTTGTGTGCTTTCGGAAGAGAAATACTCCCATACCTTAATCTGAAAATATCGGTAATTTTACAGACTCCTCTCTGATGTTTTAAAATTTAACTTCAAATAACAACTACTATTAACATTGATTAAGAAATTTCCCCTTTCTAATTAAATTTTATTCGAAACTTTTAAATTTGTACGACTTGTAATTCCATCTTTTTTGTGTAAGCGTAAAAGATTAATATGGATAATTTTTGTTGCAACGCGAAAAATATTTCTTGGAAAGCCATTTTTTTGGCTAATTGTAAAACAGTGGTGGATAAAATACGACTAACCAAAGGAAAAGGCAATGTGGAAAAACTAAAAAAAATAAAGCCCAAGGTAATATGGAATTCGTAAATGCCTTCAAGAGTCGAAGACTCTTAATTAAATCGCTCCTGTACAACGGTGTTTCAGACATCAGGGCATGGACATTATAAGATATAGACTAACCCAGTGGGCGGGGCGCGCGTCACCGACATGTCGGCAAGAAAGAGTAGGGACGATCTGGTTTACTTTAACACCGAAACCTATGGGGTTTGTTATCACATAACCCTTTTTAATTATTAAATGTGATACGTTGTATATTGATGAGGTTATGAAAGCCACAGTTTTTTCCAAATAGGATTTAATATATCTCATTAAAGCACTTTTTACTGCAATTGGCGCATTTTTTTCACGCGTAATTTTTGTACAAACATATTTACTTTGGTAAAACGGTAAAAACTCTAAGCACAAAATTTATGAACTTAATTTTGCGTACAAATAACGTAAAATTAAATAAGATTGATAGTACGTGATCGTTGAAATAGATAAGGTAAAATTAAACAAAATCTGATATACACTGGTGTGCAAAAATTAAGGACGAGACGGTTTTTTCAATATAACTTTGTACAAAAGCTTTCCAAATCAACACATTTAATACCGTAAGATCCCCAATACGTAAGGACATGAGTAATGTAAGCAACACTTACTAAAAGAGAAATCAGAGGGATAAAAAGAAGCTTTATTGAAAAAGTAGCATGGAGCGCAATGCGACTGAAGGCCGAAACATCCCTGTGATGGGTGTCCAGCAAGAAACATCCGGTCTTTAATAGGGGATATGATCTCCCCTGACTGCTAGGCAGGTTTCACAGCGTCTGCCCATGCTGAGAATGAGGGTGTCAATGAGTTGTTGAGGCATTGCTGCCCATTCGTCTTGCAGCGCCAATCGAAGCTCCGGAATCGTTACTGGTGGTAAGGTACGAGCTGCCAAGCGTCTGCCTAGAAAATCCCATACATGCTCGATGGGATTGAGATCCGGAGATCGTGCCGGCCAATCCATACGTTCAATATCCTCACTGAAAGGAACATGCGGACGTCCAAGGAACTGCGCGCCTCTAAAAAGACGCACATATGGAAAAAGAATCTCGTTACAATAACGGGTCCCGTTGACTGAACCTGCGTCGAAGATGTGAAGGTCTGTACGACTACCAAGCATGATGCCTCCCCAAACGAGAACACCGCCACCTCCATACCTGTCCCTTTCAATGATGTTCGAGGGATGATTGCGGCTTCCCCGCTCTCTCCAGATGAGTATGCGATGAGAATCGCTACTCAGACTGAATCTGCTCTCATCTGTAAAGAGTACTCGTCCCCATTCATTGTCTCTCCAATTCCGGTGTTCCCGGCACCACAGAGAACGCCTTCTCCGATGGGCAGGCGTTAGAGGTACACACCGTACAGGGCGTCGTGCAAACAGACCACCACCGTGCAGTCTTCTGGCCACGGTAAAACGCGATATCGGTCGTCCAGTCGCCTGTGTCGTGTGTCTAGCGATTTCTCCCGCTGTCTGCCGCCTGTTTCTTCTGGCCTGTAAGGCAATATACCGGTCATCTGCGGGTGTGGTTCCTCGTGGACGACCACTACTAAACCCCCGGATAGCTGTTCCTGTAGTTTGAAATTGTCTCCAAAGTCGTGAAACGATGCTGTGAGCAATTCCGAACTCTGCAGCCACACTTGTCACACTGCGGCGGCCTTCCTCCAACTTCCCAATGATTCGACCTCGGGTAAAAGCATCCAGATGTCGTCTAACAGATTGATTATTCGCCATTTCTCGCTGAGGCAGCAACTCGGTGTGATTTTAACTGCTATACGGCGTGCAATCTCTTTGCCAGAAATACTACTGACACCGACAACATGCTTTATACTACTCAGACACTCCCCCATTACGTCTACCTGCATATCTGCGCATGTGCTACCGTACATCACCTTACTTAATCTCCTGATTGGTCTTTCTGTCCGCTCTGCCTCTTCGTTCAGCTGATATGCTAATTTTTCGACTTCGTCCTTAATTTTTGCACACCAGTGGTATTTATTCATCATTTTCTGTACCAGTATAATTAAAAAACGGTCGTTCAATTTAAACAAGATTAGGTTTAAAATTCATTACAAATTTTGCTTTAATAAATCGGAATACTGAAAAAACAGGAAAAAGCATGAGTTAAGTAAATAAACACGCGAAGGAAGGTATGAAAAGGAACAGAGCCATGAGCAACCGTTTTTCTGCTGTGACGTCATGCCGTCGTACTCAGACCTTTTGTAAATGTCTCGAAGGTATTGGTTCTGCCTCTTGAAGGCCATGTTAGTTGCTTTCATTCTCTAGCAGTTAGAATTCTGCGGCGTTGAGTTAATCTTGTCATTAGGCGTGTTTACTGCGAGCTCGAGTCAGAGCCATCTTGCGTGATAGTTAAACTTTTATGCCGTTAAGTTCAATTTAAGTTCTTCATTACCTTTTGGGCCCACCAGCGGCCGAGGGGTAAAGTCGCTGAACACTGGTAGTTCATTTCGAGGTTCGAATCCCGCGAACAGGCTGGCTGCATGGGCGTTTTCGTGGTTTTCCCATGTGTAACGTATATACGAGCCAGTTTCCCTTAGTCCTCCACGAAGGCATCTCTCCCCTTAGACAGATAGCCCTCGAGGCTTTGCCATAATCACACACACACACACACACACACATTACCTTTGGTTTAATCCAAAAGTGTTGGCTTTTGTAAGCACGAGTTGGTGTCAACGGTTACACTTTATTTGACTTTCCTATACACCCTTCTCTTGACTTTGTAATACATTAAAAGCTTGGCGATAATTCACCAAACAGTTTTCAACGTTACGTATATTTTATGATAGATAAGAATGCACGATGTTGCAATGCATAAAAAATAAACATTGCTTCTATAAAGGTTAAAAAATTGTAGACTGCTGAAACAGATTGCTTTCACAATGAGTTTGGTTTTCAGGAAAAGGGATTCCAGTATTTGATAGAAAGCGATTTCCCAGGTATTGGTCGATAATGGCATTTTCTGGCTAAATTTGTCTGTCTCTTTGCCATCTTATATAGAGAACGCTGCTCATCAATCCATGTCTCATTCAAGATCTGAACTTCATCCCATAAATATAACAGTTAGCCTTCTTTAACCATCTTTTTGTTTTCAGATATTCAATACATTATTTTCCGACATTACTAATAACAGTATAAATACTAAACATCGGATAATCAACTTATACTTGAATGATAAACAATTTCCTTTCGAAAGACACCAAACGAAAATCGCATTCTGTGAAAACGATAACCCTGACGTGATTCGTATTTATATATGAAACATTATCACTTCTGAATTTGTTTCATCCTTGTTGACTTTCTTAAAAAACTAGGCTCACGCGGTTCATTTCCTGAACTAGCGACGATGCAGAGTTTCTGTTAATCCTGTTAGCAATTTCAACAGTCTACCGCTAGATGGCGCCATGATATTAAAAGATATTCAAAGCTAAAATACTAAAAAAATAACGAGAGATAAGGAATGCAACCACGGCGGCAGACGATATTAATGACTCATGCACTTTTAAAAGAGCAGTAGAATAAAGTATTGTAATGATGTTGGTTGTGAATTTCTGCCCTGTTAAATAATAACGCAAAATCAAAATGATACGCATAGTGGATGTAATAGAAAAATTTTGACGCTAACAATCCCTAGTTATGCGTAGTCAGGAACTACACGGATCGAAATGTTTCTTCGCCCATATCACTGCGCTCAGGCACTTCCTTCTGACTCGGATCCCATTGGCTCGCCATGCACCTCCTATGATTGCAAGAGAAACTGACACAAGAGAAACATTTAGCAGAGAGTTCTATCCATTGGGATAAAAAGAGAGAAAATGATGCGACACGGAAACCTAAGGTCAGTTCCTCACATTTTCTTAACCGGACATACAAGCTCCTACCTCCGTGATAAATTCGAGAAATTTATGCAAAATTTGTTTCAGCAATTGTAAGGTTTTCGAGTATGAAAATTAATTTTTCGCAGATAGGATGATAATTTTTCACTTCAATTTTTAATCTTTTCTGTAATAACAATTTTTTCCCCGTATATAACCTTTCAGCTTGTATTTTCTATTACATTAATTTTCTAAAAGTAACACTTTTCTAGAAGTTATTAAATTCTTACTCAGTATTAAAAAAAATTATAAAAATTTTAAATGATTAGGTTTGATGGATAATGAAGAATAGGAACATGTACCTCGAAAAATCAGTCTTAAGGGGGAAAAAAGTCAGCATTTTTACGGAAAAAATTAATAAATTAATTTAACTAGATAGTGAAAGTTATGTATTTCTTCATCATCGTATGCGTCTTTGATTCTTTTTTTTCGGCCAATTTTAATACTTTGCATCGCATTTTTAATAATACTTATCATTCACCCTCTCCGTCGTCTCCACGCCTTTCGAACTGTTGTTTTTTCATTTTCATAAAGTGGAAGGGTGGATTGATTAGTTAAGTATGTAGTACTTTAGTAGTTTAAGTATGAGATATCGTTACAGTTCTTCATTGAAGCATAAAACAACATCTAAGCCTCCAAAGCCTAAGGCCCATATCAAACGGCGTTTGTTTCACACGAACATCTGTTTCGGACAATTTTTCTGCCTGGTTTACTATTGAAAGAAAGACGCGAGACTTTTTCCTTCCTTTCAAAAAAAATTGCAGGTTGTTCGTTTTCAAAACCAATCAGCTATCAGCTTCGAATACTATCAGCTTGTTTGTAATGGGGACCAGTTTCTCCTGCGTTAACCCCAAAGCGATCTGTGTTGATTGGCTGTTGTGACAAAGCAGAAAAATTGTTCCAAACAGTTGTTCTTCGGAAACAAACCGACGTGTGATAGCAGCCTAACGCGTTAAGCCGCTGAACACTGGTAATTCGGTTTGGAATTCGAATCCTGACGAACGGGCTAGCTTCTTGGGCGTTTTCGCATTTTCCCCGTCTGTAACGTACAGACGAGCCAGCTTCTCTTAGAAAGTTCTCCAAGGAGACATTCCTCCCCTTAGGCAGCTAGCCCACGAGTGCTTTGCCACAATGAAATAAACCAAAACTAAAGCTTAATATTGTTAACTAACGATAAATTCTGTTAAACAATTGAGTTAAATTTATGCCATAAAAACGTGTTTCGTCCTATGAGACCAAAAACATTTTTCATTGCATCAACTCTAGGTCTCACTTTCTTTTTCTCGAAAAACGTGTTACTGTTTTTATTTTACGAAGTTCGTAAATTTTCAAAATTGATTTTGTTGCTCCTTCATTTGCAGAAAAAAAAATTGGGCGAATCTTGCGTGCAAGCTATCCAGTGAAAAAAATTACTCAATTATGTCTTCGAAAATGAAGTCTTTTATTTCTTAAAGAAATGTCTTCCACATTGATTTGATTTAGGGTAGAATAATGTCAAGTTTCTTTCATACTGCCTGGCATCGTTTGTTTGAATAGCTTGTTTAACATATGCGATCTTAGGCTCTGTATTTTAAATTTCTGCATATTAATTCTTTAACTTATGAGTCTGTCGTAACCGGTTAGTTTGAAACTGCTTAGGTGTTAACCCGAATACGAAGATTATACTGCAATTTTTAGTGATTTTTAATTTTGAAATTTTAACTGCGAAATCTTCTTTAATGTATTAAATTATAATTTGAAATTTTCAGAATACAGTTTTTATTAGCACAAAGGGGCCTTAGATACAATGGGCTATTAATCTCAAAACGGCATTTTGCCTCATTCCACTTTTTTGCATTGACTCTCTTTTTAAATTGTTGCCACCAAGTATTATCGCCATATATTTAAAGGAAATAAATAATGCATAAATGCTTGCCTCTGCATAAATGATTGCATCTGCATAAATGCGCGAATGTTTCTTGCATTGTGAAAAAACAACGGCATCTAGATCCATTAAATTTTGAATAAGGTAGTCCTCCAACCGAACATGGGCACTTGGAAACCCGAATTTTGAATTTTGAATTTGTTTTATTATCTATTTTAGATTTTGTGACACTCAAACGAATTTTTGATGAATAAACTCAAAGATTTGAAAGCGATCAATGGCAAAACGGTACGGAAAAAGACGTTTTATCTTCCGCGAACGAGACTGTGTATCCGAAATTCTAAAGATATGCTGTTTTGCTGTTTTTAAATATTTTGTGGTATTGCTGTTGAATTGAATTTTATGTGGTTTAAATGCTGAGAATATGATATTTAATAAACAAAGGCCACACACAAACCGTTAAAAAACGCCCTTTTTGGCATAATATAAAATCTGAAAGCTTTCAGATTTTTTTTTTTATTTTTATTTAAGGCTTACAAGATATGTTTATTATTCTCAGTAAGCAGATTTTACGTCTTATCAAAATATATATCAAAATATACCTATGGCTACATAAGGTACCGAAGCCTCGCGCGCAAGTCATCCAAAAAAATAAATCCACAACCTCGTTTTGAATAATGAAATTGTTACTTTCCTTTTAAATAAGTGAACATGTCTCGATTTACGCAATAATTTATGATGAAATAATGAAATTGTTACTTTTCTTTTAAGTAATTGAACATGTCTTGATTTGGCAATAATTTATGAGGAAATAATATTGTAGTTAAAGTTTTGCTTACCATTTGCATCGGTAATAATAGTTCGTGTTAAATATGCGATGACTGCTTTAAATTTTGAAACCCGCGGTAGGGTTACTTCTTAACTTGATTGATTTTAAAAAAATTGTAAATTTTATATTTTGAAAATTTGTAAATTTTATATTTTTAAAATTTGTAAATATAATTCTAAATTTTTGAAACATTAACTAAAAACTCTTTGATATACTATTCTTTAACGTGGAATTTTCAGATGCGAGTCCAATTTATTTATTTATTTAATCTATCATGATAAGTAAATGACATCATCAAGTAAATGCTGTCAGATGACTGAGTTTCATCTCACAATATATTATTACTTTAAAATATTCTGAAGCATATTCTTGTAGCAGTACCAATTCGTTTCAAGAAATGTTCTTTCACATGCCCGCATTTTAAATAAAAAGCTTATAAAACGTTAACCGAGTTATCTTAAATTATACATTACATTTAATTGCAAAATGATAAAGTAGTCAAAGCACATATGAATGTCAATTTGGTGAATTCGCAATTAATAAAATATAATTCAGAATAATTTTAAACTAATAAAAAGATCTAACTAAAAATCTAACTCTTGAACTGTAAATCTAACTCTTGAACGTTTGTTGAAATATATGTAATAATGAGAAATACTCAAGAGAAGTAATAACAATAACTCCGTTCGTGAAACTCGTCTTTAAATGCCATGTCAACTAGTGCTTCAAAGTAATTCCCAAAATTTATAAACTTTCATTTCTTCAATTGACTGGCGTTGCATAACGAAGACAAAATAAATTGTTTTTTTTAATGTAATAGTATAGATTAAAATCGATGTCAGCTTTTCAGAATTACTTATAGTTTACTAATAACTCATAATTAATATAACATTCAGTTTAACCGCATTATAATACCATCTGTTATTTCTCAAATTTTCATTTTCCATGTCAAGCCAAGAAAACAGTATGATTAAATATATTCATTAAACTCTATTTATAGGTCGTAATTAGTTGAGAAAAAAATGAAATATGAAAAAGTATTTCTTAATGCTAATCTTACATAACAATATTTTAAAGTTTGTTTACGTTTTCGTGTTTTTGTTTGCGTATTTTTAATGTTGTCTTTCTTTAATTTGTCGCAATTCGTTTTGTGATAAATTAAAATATTTGTTAAATATTATGCATTAGATGGTCTAAAACAGTGTTTCTTAACTGGGTTTACTCCAAGAACCGGTAAGATATTTTGGTACATTCTTGCAGACCGGTAAGTTTAATAATTCGACCCATTGGCACATTTTTGGACAGATAGCTGGATATTTCGCGGATCGGCAAATATTTCTTACGGACCGGCACCGGTTCGCACGCAGACTGGCGGTTGAGAAAGACTGGTCTAAAAGACTTTTTAAAAAAATGCTTCAATTCAATTGCTATTATTGGATTCATGTTTCTGACCTATAATTTAACAGAATCTTAAAACATTGCTTCAATTTTCATGCATTTCACAGTAATGTCATTTGCAGAAGGCTTTGATAGTTAGTAATTGAGGACACTTTTCATTATTTCTTTTATTTTCGAATTTCTTATCGTTTGGTGCTTTTTAAAAATATCTTCAAGGAATAAATGTACACCGTTTTACTTTTAGGTGTTAAATAGATTCCTTTCTTCTAAACATCCATGTATACTATCTCTTTACTGACTGTTAACTAGATTGAACTTCTATGCGATGAGGGTTGTATAAAGCCTGTTAACATTAAAATCTCTAAATTAACTTGCCCTATGAAAATTTGCTTTAAATGCAGAACATTTTCTAATAATTTGTCTTTAAATTTTATTCTTTTCATTTTGAAACAATCAAGACAATCAGATACGTCATGCCAGTTCCAAGTAAACTAACACCTTTATAATTAGTTATCTTAAAACAAAAATTAGTAAACCACAAGAGTTATATAAGAAGTTATCGCTCTTATCCCTTAAAATTGTGCCCTGTCTAACTAATTCTCAGATTAAATTTAAATGTTACCTTAGAGCGCAGATTATGCGGATCAAAAGATGAACGTGATATGTCTAATATCAAATAGGTCGTATTTATTTCGACTCTTCAGATTGAAATTTGAAGATAAGCAAAATCCTGCGATTTCACAGAAATATTCCTCCTGACTTTTTTTACTTTCTGGTGAAAGAAAAATTCATCACCATACTATAAATGTATCTTATGAGAAATATGTGTACATCGTGCATGTCAGCCTACCTAAATAAAAAAAAAATAACCT